CTATTTATCAAGATAGGGCCTCTTGTGAACCCAGATCTTGCTAATTATGCCAGTTTTCCCCGACCACCACACCTCCAACCCCATGTCTTTAGTCGAGTGCTGGGTTTACAGGTGGCTACCACCCGTGCCCAGCTCTGACGTGGGATCTGAACTTGGGTCTTCATGCTTGCATAGCAAATACTTTATGCACTGAGCCAGCTCTCCTGACCAAATTCACGAATATTAGTTCATCTTTTTGAAAAGGAAAACAAACAGGCAACAGCTTCTATATATTAATATTAATATAGTTCACTAATGGTCCCAAATACTCACATTTGTGTAAATCATACACATCTTTCAATTTATACGAGCCAATGCTGGGCGGTGGTGGCTCACAGCTAGAAGGATGGCTCAGTGAGTTAGGTTCCCAGCACCTATGTCCAGTTGCTCATAGACACTTGTAACTCCAGCTGCAGGATAATCCAATGCCTCGGGCTTCAGAGAGCACCTGCACTCAGGTGCACTTATCCACACACAGACATATGCATGGACATAATTAAAAATAAGAAACAAATCTTTAACAAAACCACGCATTTATAAAAGTCTACTCATCTAGAATTCTCTCTGGTGGGTACCAAGATAGACAGACTTAGTAGTTTCCATGGTTACACAAATCACAGTAGAAACCCCCTCAACAACCTTGTCCCGATGGCTCAACAAAGCCCCAAAGGCCATTTTAGGCTTCTAAGTCATACAATTAATCCTTGTGTTGGTTGCTTGTCTTGTTGCTATGACGAAATGGCTGTCAAAAGCAACTTCATGAAGGGGAGGTTTATTTTGGCTCCTAGTCCCAGGGGACATAGCCCATCCTGGAGGAGAAGGTCACATCACATCCACAGCCAGGAAGCAGAAAGCAATAAATGTCTGTGCTCAGTTTACTTCCTCCTTTTGACTCAGTGTGGGACCACAGCCCATAGAATAATATCACCTATATTTAGGGAAGTCTTGTCCAACTCGGTTAACCTAATGTAGGCAATCCTTTCAGATATGCTCAGAGATTTGTTTCCATGGAGATCCTAAATCCCATCGACTTGACAGTCAAGATTAATCATCACAACTCCCAAATACTTAGAGGGAACTCCAAATATGCTCAAAAGAGCTTCTAAATCAACACCCTGTCATCTAAATTGCACAAGAGGCCAGATAGTCCAACAGAACTGATACAGCTTAGACAAAGCTAGTCATCAGGACCCCAAACTAAAAGGAAGGCAAAACCTGAGTTGCACCAATAGTGGAGAAACATATCAAGGATCAGACCTTCTCATGAGTCTGAAGCAAAGTCCAAACACTCATTTCTATGCTCTCGAAAATAGCGGTGCAAAGGCACTGAGGCCAGCTGAATGGGAAGAAGAAAAGGTCCCTGGAGTGAAGTGACTCAGCACCTTTGTGAGCCCATCAGTCTTTGCTTTCCATTCGGGATCAATTCGTTATGAGTAGCTACACCTTCAAATGTATCTTTTCTTCTGGATATGGCTTGACAAAAAATTACTACCAGAGCTGTTAGTATCAGAGCCTGGGTCCTAACAAGCCTGGACAAGCGAGGCTTAGCCACTCATGCTCAATAAGCCACTTAGACAAATAATAGTGCGAAGCAGAAAAGGGAGATTTATTCAATGTGGCCACATTAGGAAGAGGAATAAAGAGATTCAGTGACACCCTCTCAGTGACATGCAGTTTAGGTTTAAATAGAAAGCAAGAGGCAAATGTCACTAAGCAGTCCTGGTCAGTCAAGATATGGTCCTACTCATCATTGGCCCATTCTTGACTGGGCTCCAATTTCCCTACAAAGTGGCTGACAAGTACTCAGAACTGTGAAATCTCCTCCTAGGGAACAAGTTCCTTCTCTGGCTAGCACCAGGCTTCAGTCTATTCCTTTTCCCAGCATGCAATTCTTAAGGAAATTCCAGGCTTGGAGAATAACTGCCTCAATAGTCTGATTGCCACAGGGAGGGGCACAGGATTTCCTTATAGATTATCTCTGCTCTTGCCAGGATGGTTACAGAGTCACTAGTAACTGACTTCTCCCTATTCATCATCATGGACGGTTTGTCTCTTAAACATGCCTTGGTTTAGGTAGGGAACACTCACCTGGGCTCCTGTATAGCTGTCCCTCTTTAAAGTCACACTTCGAAGGTTCATAACTCTTCTCTCTGCCTTTTCCCGAGTCCTTACACTTTAATCTCTTCCAACCACTTCCTAATCCTACAAGCTGTGGAGCAGGGAAGGCTGATCAGCGATATCAACCTTATTCTAGAATAAATCCTGTGTGCTGTTTAGTAAGGGAGGCTAAGGAATCCACTCTCATATATGACAGTGTTATGGTCTGGTAATCTGCTCTGGAGCAGAATTAAAGAACTGTTGAAGATTTCTTTACCAAACTGTCTTTAAAACTACTTTCCATTTTTTAGTTAACATATTAATTGTACCGACTTCTAGAGTTCAGTCTGGCATTTCACATATGGATTCAACCTGTAATGATCAGATCAAGGTACTTGGTACAACAATATCTCCTCAAACTTTCATCATTTCCTTCTGAAAGAACATTCAAAATGCCCTCTGTTAGCTCTTTTGAAATACATAGTTCATTGTCTGTCTTGATTATCCTAGTGCACTGGAGAACAATTTGCCTTCTAACCTCTGCTTTCCTGAAGGAGCTGTGTCTTCTCATTAGCATCAGAGGGCCTCGGGGCTCATCCCTGAGTCAGGGAGGTGAGACAAATCCTGGCTTATTACAGGCCCCTGGCAATGAAACAGCCGGCACATGCATCATGCCTGCCCAGGGCCTCAAAATCCTGCCGCCCACAGACAAAGACTCTTCACAAGGGTGATGTCAGAATCTCCGGTTACTTAATGGCACCATAAAGAGCAGTTTCAAATTCAACCTCTAATTGAGGTACTTTTGGCATAGGTTGGAAATTCATAAGGGTCCCTCTGCCAAGGGTTATTGGTAGAATAAACGCTTGCCCATCTGGTAGGAACACCAGTTTGACATCTCAAGGATAAGGAAAGAAGTACCAGTGGAACAGATGGCGGAAGGGATAACAGTGGGTCTTCCCTGAGGTCACTTAAAGGAAAAAGCCAAGGAAAAGATGCTGTCTTCTCTGCCACAGGGGACACACAAGTGTCTTGCAGTACCTTTCAAAATATAAATGGCATACATACTCTGGAACAGAAGAAACTGTTTAGTAAGAATTGTAGATGGAGAAGAGGTCCATTTGAGAGCTCTAGAAAAGCCTCTTTGCAGTAAGAAATCTTTTCAAGATGTCAGAATGATCATGCCATCCATTGCAGAAGACACACCAGGATCTTCCCATCACACTTGGCATAAAACATTTCCAACATAAATTTTTATCTTTCTATCAGTCTTCTCATTTTCACTTTGTAATTTCTTTTTCTTTGGTGTTCCAAAATAGCTGGCCTGTCCTCAATTTCCCCAGTTTATCCTGCTCTCTCCTCATAGGACCTTCACACAGCAAGTTAACTCTGACAAAATTGCTACCTAGTCAGACCTGTTCTCAACCCAACAGGCAGTTCCTTAAAGAAATCTTTCCCGGCCTTATTAATATATTGGTTCCTTTCATAGTCTGATGTATCCTTATAATTTGTATTATAACATTGATACTTTTATTTTTTGTGTATAGTTATTATTTTCATACCATGGGACTTCTCTGTAAGATCTATTTATTGCTAGTGCTAGAACATTGCCTTTAAGAGAATGGGCAAGTGATAAAATATTAACTGGAGAAATAAAGGAAGAATGGAAATAAAGAATTACTGAGGGAACTGGAGAGATGACTCAGTGGTTAAGAGCACTGGCTGCTCTTCTAGACGACCCAGGTTCAATTTCCAGCACTCACATGGCAGCTCACTACTGTCTGTAACTCCAACTCCAGGAGTTCTGACACCTTCACGAAGACACACATACAGGCAAAACATCAGTGCACATAAAATAAAAATAAAGAAATTAATAAAAAGAATTGCCGGGTGAGATGAAATGGGGGAGAGAATGAATGAATGAATGAGTGCTCACATTTGCTTCATGCTTGCGTCACTGGAAACAGAGCATCTCAACGTGTAATGGGAACATAATCTATCTGACTTTATTCGACAAATATTTATATATTTTGGAAATCATGGGTTACCACATTGGTATAAGAGACTGCCCGTTATCCCCCCACTGTCAAAATAACTGGCATATTCCTTTCCATGTTTTTCTTTGTATATACTATGAATGTAATGTATTTTATATATACTTGGAATCATTCTTTATGTATGTGTTTCCTGCTTCTTTCTCTTAATGATAAGTTATCTTCCCGCATTGGTAAGAATGCCTTTGAATATATGATTTTTAAAGGACTAAATATATTCTAATGCATGAATGATAGTAATTTAAATTCCTTTCCATCCATTGCCGTATGGTTAGGCTGGTCAGTTAATCAGTCCATAGCTAATATTTGCGGGGGGGGGGGGGCACGAGGCCTTGGAGGTAAAAATCAGGTTATGCAAAGAATCTGGAACAGGAGGGGTTGGGGAAAAAAGGAAGTAACTTTTTCCAGGGATCTGGAGAACCTTAACTTGGTGGGTGGTAGGCCTTGGAAAAGTCTGTCAAAGTAGGATCCTCTGTGGCTCAGGTGTGTGCACTGGCACGCGTGCCTGACCTTCAAACACTAACGCCCCTCCACCGGCGAGCCGCCCAGCAAGCTTAGGCTAGGACTGGTGTTTCGCCGCCACGCGCCGCCACGTGCCGTCGCGGACCCGCCCCCTGCTGCTCCCGGCCACGCCCCTCACACGCGGCTTTCCCTGGCGCGGCCCGCGGCCCCGCCCTCAGGCGACCTCCGCGAGTGCCGCCCGCCCTCCGGTGTAGCCACGCCCCCGGCCGCTGGGCCCCGCCTTCGTAATCCGGGCCCCCGGGGCCGCCCCTCCCCCAGGCCGCTCGCAGGCGCGGGGGCGGGGCCCTGCGCGATGACGTGGGCGGGCGTGCGCGTTGACGACCCGCGTCTCTGTTAGTCAGCGGAGCGGCCGAGGCCGGACATCGCGGCCGGAACGCGGAGCCGCGAGCAGGGCTGAGTAGCGGCCGCGGCCACCGCGGGACGGCGCCGCTCACCGCTGCGGGCTTCCCGGTCGCCGTTGGCTGCATTGCCGGGTGAGTGCGCGGGCGCCGCGGCCCAGGCGGCCGCTGCCTTTCCCCGGCCGTGACCCCCCCTCTCCCGGGAACGCGCGCGGGGCGGGGGCGGCGCGGGAACAATAGCGCGGGCGGCGGGGGCAGCGGGGGGCGTGGTCCACTCCGCGCGACCTGGCTCCGCCGCTCCGGCCCGCTTCCACGTCGCGCGGGGAGAATGGAGCGGGTGGGCGGCAAGTTCGGAGGTGCTCCCGCGGAGATCGGGCCGACGCGACCGTACAGACGTCTCCCGCACCCACGGGCAGCGTGTTTTGACGGTGGGCGGTTTCTTTGTGCGGACGTGAGTGCCGCGACGCCGAGAAGGGCCGGGTGGCCGCGAGCGCGCCGGCCTGCGGGCCGCGCTTTGAGAGGGGCGCCTGGCGCTGACCTTTTGACTTTCCCCCACCGCTGTCTCTTTGTCTTGCGCCTGGGTCCCCAGTCCAGACACGGTAGAACCAAGTCCATTTTAAAGTACCGTAAGGAACACCTTGCATTTCATTCTCGAAAGTTCCCCCATACCACCGGGAATTTAATAACATGTTGACTGCATGGTGTCCAGTAGTTGCTATTTTTACTTCTGAAATTAAATGTTCTTTTCAGTAGAATTCTGGTCTGTCAGCCTATTGTGTTTTTGAGATCAGCATCCGCCAAGTACCTTTTGGTCAGTGAGAGCATCTGTTTATTTCATTCATTCATTCATTCAGCAACTGTTAGTACTGTATCCAGATGGAGAGGATGTGAAGGCCAAGAGAAAGACCCTTAAGAATAGGGTACTTTGGAATAGAATAGATGTGCCTTTAAATGAGACGGTTATATAAGGGATATATGTTAAGTAAGGTATTTGGCTCATTTTACTGGAACTTCTAAAGGTGATGTTATGTTAGGAAGAAGAGCTAGATTTGCTTAAATCTACCATCTTCATTCTTAAATTTTACCACCACTACCCCAATTTTTTGTCCTTGGTAATGTTTACCTCAGTTCTGTTGAGGCTGTTAGACCTGGGAGGTCGGATACTTCTGTGTCTGACGAAAGCAAGTAATCAAAATGGTACTTAGAGGCCTGTCTTGCATCATTTCTCCAGCACCTAGCATAGAAGCCATTCACGTTGGCTTTCATAAAATTGAAAGTTAAGCTTTAAATTCTCCCCAAAGTTTCAGAAGTGTCACATGTCACTCGGCTGGGTCATAAATTAATAGAGGATACTACCTGTTAAGACAACAAGAGGGTTTGGAATCACTGTTTTTGTTTTTATGCTTCACTTCTGGGCCACACCTGAATTTTTTTGTATGTAGTTAATAAAGTAGAAGATTGTAGGGGGTGTGTGTGTATGTACATGGATAAAAGTTAAGCAACGATAACTTGAAAGTCAGAGATGCTCCAAACTCTGGAACACTTACAGTCCCTTGTAGATAAGGGCCATTTACTTGTTACTTTGTCGTCAAAGTTAGGTACTTTGTCCACTTGCAATATTTTAGATAAGGACTTTCTTCAACCATATGTGTGAATGTACCTAGACATAACAGTGGTGTTTCATTAGGAATCTAACATGATTTCATTTGTCTCCTTTAAAAAAATTACTGTCGAGGGTGCATGATGTTTTGGAGGAGGGAGGGTACATGTGCCGCTGTGTGCATGTGGAAGCCAGAGGACAACTTTGTGGGGTTGATTTTCTTCTTACACCTTTATGTGGGTTCTAGACATCAAACCCAGGTTCTCAGGCTTTCAGGGAATGTATCTTCACCCATTGAACCATATTTATCCTATTTGCAACTATTACTTCTCATGTTTTTTTTTAATGATTTAAGTGGAAAAGTACAACACCCACATGTATTTTACAAATATTTTATTTCTAGTAGTTTAAAATTGCTTAATGTTTTTAGAGGTGCTTACTAGAAAGGGCAGGTTTTAACTTGTACTTATCCACTCACAGAGCATATGGGGCTAAAACTCAAATGCTGTGAATTTATCCAAGTGTTGGCACATTTCCACTATTTTAAAAAATACTTTTCGGTATGAAAGTAGTTCAGATGAACTTATTTACTGTAAAATAGGAATGAAAAAATAAGAAAATGATTTTATTACTATGAGATACAGGTCTTAAGGCACCAAACTTTTATTGCTTTACCTAATTAAGTATATGAGGTTCCAGTAGGGACTCTTGAATTAAATCATTTGAGTGGCTCACAGTCAGACTCTGCATAGATTCAGTTAGTTTTTTTCCCCTAAATTCTGTTGTTTAAACAACTTTCTTGAGATTTAATTCACATAAAAGAGTGGCCCTTACAGAGTATATTTTCAGTGGTTTTTAGTCTACTCATATAATTATGCATTGATCACTGCTATACCATTCTGGAGCATCATCATGCCACAAAGAACACGCCCCTTAAAAAAAAAGCAGTGCTGTTTGAAAGAGAGTGTGTGTTCTGTTAATAAATATGTTCCCTTAATGAGTTTGTAAAGGGTATCCTTTAATTGTCATGGCATATTAGGAAACTGTATACTTCATGCCCCTTTGTACCCTGAGAGAAATTACTTGCAAAGGAAATTAGTGTAAGAGTAAATTGAGCCATATGTGGTACATGCCTGTAGTCTCAGGATTTGGGAGGCCAAGGCAAGATGAGTTTGAGGGCAGCCTGGGCTACAAGCTAAAAAATAAATTGTACCAAAATGAATACAATTAGAATCTTAATTATTTGTTTCATGAGTGATAGTATGGAAATGGCCTGGAGAAGATACTAGATGGTTAGTGAAACAGTAATTTGTTGTTAACAACTAGCCATAAACCATCCTAGTGGTGAATGAGGGGCTACCGAATAGGAGCCAGTTTCTTGTTGCTTTGCTTTGCCTGTCAATTGACAAATTTGAGTCATCTCCATACTCAAGATGCTTAACTGTGGGTGTAGAAGTATAATGTCTGACATTAAGGTGCCTGTTCTCTAGAAGACTGATAAGTCAGTGGTATGGATTCATGTAGGACAAGGAAGTCAAAACCCTGGAGCTTTACACAGGAATGACTTGCCTGTTTGAAATGTGATGCTTGTCCCAGACCCTGTCACTACCTGAATATCCAGGAGCTGTGTATTCTTACCCTAATGCAGCTCTCCTGAGCTTTGGCTTTAGGAGAGTCAGGATTCAGAATTTACTAAAAGGTGACAGGAGTACTGAAATGAGTCATCTTGTAGGTGGGAATAAAACAGTCCAGGAATCATACCCATGTTTCCTTGGTACTTTGTCATCAGCATGGAGCCTGCTGCAAAGTTGTTCATTGGAGTCCTTCTTGAGTGAGTGGAAAACTCTGGCAAGAAAAGTAAGAATCAGAGAACTTGTTAATTTGTCTCTAGTATTTAGTGGATAGCTGTTTGAGCCATGCCCTGAAGCACCGCCCCAGTGAGGCAGCTGAAGCTGTTACACCTGCCTATGACCTTGGGCCACCAGGGACCCTTAAGACAAGGGATGCATGTATGCTCTTTCTCTTCTTGACTACCTCGAGGTTTTGAATGCTGAGATCTTGGACCGAGCCGTTAAGCGTGTGACATAGCTCAGCTTTCCCGGACTGTATGATAAATCTTCTATGTTTGTGAGTTTACCCCCAAATAAATTCCTTTGATCATTAAATAGACTCCATGGATTAATCCCAGTACTAGTATCAGACTTACACAATGGGAATGGGAAATTCTGTTTGTTTCATAGCACCATGCCTTTTGATGAAATACTCTCCAAAACTGTGGAAGATGTGGAAATGGAGAGCTCACTAACCTGAAGAAGCTTATGGTTCAAAGACGGGATTTAAGGCTCCTTTAAAGGTTATGTGAAAAGCCTCCCCCTACTAAAGCCTGCTGCAAAACTCTAAACAGGCCAAACTTCACTGAAATGTACTTTTTAGAATTTGTGTGTGTGAGACCTTTGAGAAAATTTGTGCCTTTTCTATATGTCGTGAGTTATATAACAACTAGAGCAGATACCTGTGTCTCCTGTTATACATTCAGAGATTTTCAGATTTGGTTAAAATTTGCTAATTCTTTAAAAAGTTGAGTGATCAAAACCTAGGAAATAGCCAGCATGACTTTAGGACCATCTCTGAGTCACAGTCTATATTCCAAATGTAACTAATTCTGTGGCATAGCTAGTTCAGGTTATAGAGCGTATCTGAGTCTGCTTTATTAGCCATTAGATGAAAAGAATAAATGATACACATCTCACAGGGTCCTGAGGTATGAATTAGGTGGTGCAGGAGACTGCTTTGATCCTTGAGTGGTAGATAAACCATTCAGGAAGTTTTAGAATTACCAATTTTTTTTAACTTAATGAATGCAAAATGTCAAGGAAATTTAAAATAATTTTGCTGCAGAATTCGTATTCAGATTCTCTAGATATTAGTTGTTTCTGTCTACATCTCTAGAGGATTTGTTAAAGTTTGAAAATCTCAACTAATCTGAATTGACTGGGATTATTTGTGTTAACATTTTGACCAGTAATCCTCTCTGCTTTAAAATTTGGAAACATTCCAAAAACAAATAATAATCTCTGATACAATGCCATGTTGCCTTTTTTTTTTTTTAAGCCTTTTCCCACAACAGAGTATTCCCTATGCTCTCTTAGATTTTTTTTGGCAAATATCTATGAAGTAGGAATCTAGGAGCTGAGAATAATTCTAATCATGTAACACATTTGAAGAAAATGGAATGCTGTCCCATCTTTCATGTTTAGTCTTACTGAGGCTTTTGTCTTGAAGAATCCAAATTTATAAGAGACCTTGTAACCACACAGTTATTAGAGTTACTATTTTTCTGTACATCTTTCTGGGGATATAATAAGTGGTATATCAAATTTCTTGTTCCTTCTTAGGGATAACAGCTATGAAGACACTGATGTTACACAAGCCAAATTTATTGAAAACCCACTCTATGCCACTTTAGGTAGTAAGTGATTTGAGAACCTGACATGTACTGAAGTAAAGTTGATCTCCCTTCTATGGTCTGAATATA